TTTTTGGGATTTGTTGACGCCATGAAATTAGGAAACAATAGATTTTTCCCTTAAAATGATACATTCTCTTAGTTTAAACTTTTGATCTGTGATTTGTGTTCTATTCTGAATAAAATATTAGATGTTGGCACCTCCACATCATTGCAGTCAGTTTTTATTCACAATTTGTTTAGTGTCCCAACTTTTTTGGAATCCAGTTTGTACTTCTCTTTTCTTTATACCTGCTGCCACTAGGTGCTATCTTCCGCAAACACGACATACCCTTTCATTTCTATGCCGATGATTGCCAAATTTACTTCCCCCTGAGGCACAGAGGCACACGCTCTATTCAGCCTCTTCTTGACTGCCTGGCTGACATCCGGGACTGGATGGCTTTAAACTTCTTAAGCTTCAATGAGAAGAAGTCTGAAGTCATGCTGTTCCATCCCAGTGGCTCACTCATGAACCATGACATTGACCTTTTCTCTCTAGCCCCGCTAGAGAAACAAAAGGTCACTAATCTGGGGGTGATAATGGACCCGTCCTTAAAACTCAACAGTCACGTAAACATGATGGTAAAATCCTGTTTTTTTCAGCCGAGACGGCTGTCTAAGCTGAAGCCTATACTCTCCAAAAAGAACCTTGAGACAGTGATCCACGCCTTCATAACATCTAGGCTTGATTACTGCAATTCACTTCTGTTTGGAATCAGTCAGTCCTCCATTGCTCGTCTACAACTGGTCCAAAATGCTGCAGCCCGATTTTTAACTGGTACAGGCTATAGAGAGCACATCACGCCAGTTTTGGCCTCCCTGCACTGGCTACCCATTCACCTTCAGATCCATTTCAAAATTCTCATGTATGTTTTTAAATCACTGAACAGTTCCGCCCCATCCTATCTCACTGATAGACTCATGAATCTCTAACTAGAATAATCACTGTGTAAAACCATATCATGTTGCTGCTGATCTGTTTCATGTTGCTGCTGATCTGTTTCAATGTTGATGTGTTCATGCGTGCACATCTGCTCAGACTCATGTTCATGTTTGTGCTGATGTTCAATGTTTTATGTTATGAGTGCTTAGTGTATATTTAGTTGATGTTTTTCTTAGTTCATATCTTAGATGTTATTACTGTTTTTCTTATACATTTTATTGTTGGATGTAACTGGGACCCTGTGTACATAATTTCGCTCCACCACATGTACCACATGAGGTGCGAATGACAATAAAGAAACTCTGACTCTCTGACTCTGACTCTCTGATCTTCTGCAGCCATATATCCCACCGCGCTCTCTGAGGTCAGCAGACCAGATGCTTCTCTCAGTCCCAGAAACCCGTCGTAAGCTCAGAGGTGACAGGGCTTTCTCTGTTGCAGGTCCACGACTGTGGAATGAGTTGCCACCGAGTGTCCGGCAGGCTCCCACACTCTCAGTCTTTAAGTCTCGCTTGAAGACCCACTTCTATTCGCTTGCCTTTAACACGGTGTGATTTGTTTTGGTCCGGTCTGTTCTCTACTCTGTTGGCCATTTTAGTTAGCTTCTGCTGCTATTTGTATCTGTATTTCTATTTTATGTTTTCCTGTCTGCTGTGCATGTTTGGTTCTTTTGTTCAGCACTTTGGTTGGCCTTGTTGCTGTTTTAAGTGCTATATAAATAAATTGGTATGGTATGGTATGGTACTTACTCATACAAATTCATCTTGCTTGCACCATTATATTCTGCCATGTTGTTGTTTACTATATTTTTCTTGGACCTTGCAAATAATATATTTCTTTTTCACTTTTTGGTACTTTATTTAGTACCATTAATGAATGCTTTAGTATTTCTTTTTTTTTTTTTTTAGCGAGTCGAATCAGTTCTTCTCATCCTGAACATTTCATTTTACTGTTAACCTTGTTGACCTGCATTTGACAAATAAACAACATGACACAACTAGTGTTGTGTCATTCACAAACAATTGGTAACAAATGAATGAATCTTTTGAGTTAAACTGAACCAAATCACTTTTTTACCTGCTTCATTCCTTTCTCAGTTCAGCGAGCGCACCAGTCGGAAGAGGAACTTCTTTGTTCCATGATTCAATCGTGACGTGAATATGAACAACGCGGTGTGTGTGCCGTGCAAGTGGGGAGGGACCGTTGTTGACGCCTGAACGAATGTGACGTGATTCGTTCACTGTATATAAAATACATGCATCTGTCCTGAGGGATGCTAACCATTTCATCCTCATGGGGGACATGCTCTCATGCCATTGGCAATGGCATCTGTTTCTCCAAGCTAACCGCTAATGTTGAGTCAAGCCACGTGAAAATAAATGCACACACACGCCCCCGTTATCTTAAAAGACTGTGATACACAAAGTAATGAGAGGAGACAGAAGAGCGAGTGAGACTCACAGCAGGGCAAGCTGCAGCAGCGACACAGGGGTGGCTGAGTGTGCAGCTTAACTTGTACTGTTTACACACACCCTCAAAGTTGTCAGAAACAGAGACAATGAGTGAAGATGAGCGAGTCAAGAAGAAAAAGTGTTGTCAGAACACAATGTGATTGCCTTTCTGCTACAGCTGCAATGTTTATTATTTTTTATCTCCCCGTCTTTTCTTACCATTAAATGATACTCTATTTTTATTTCAATCTTTCCTATAGACCAGATGCTCTGTGTCCTCAATAAAGTATTATTATTATTATTATAACAGAGGACTCATGTTCACGTTTAGTGAGCGTGATGCTTGCTGCTGTAGTGTTGTGTCGCTGTGAACATAGACTGCACAGACAGGGGAGTGTGTCAGAGAGGGCAGGGAGCGAGTCGTTCCATGAACGTACTGCTGATTTGCACATGCGCACAAAAAGAACTGCAGCTGAGGAGCGATTCATTCGTGTAATGCTGTGCTGGAAGTGGTGCTGTGTCACTCACTCCCATACTGAACAAATAAACTGCATGAACTGAAAGATTCAGTGAAGAAATCCTTTGAACAAAACATTTTAATGAACTGATTCTAGGGATTCAGTACACCCAAAAGAACTGCCGTTCCCATCACCATGTCTGATGAGACGTGAGGCGGGACACTCAGTGACTATCTGGTAAACACGTCCCTCTTCTGGGTGAGTTGATCTTTTGTCTCGGTAGATTTTATTTCAGAGGCTCTCAACCATGAAGGTGAAGCACAACCTACTGACCTAAGATAAAAATTGAAAGAGTAGGGATGGAGTTAAAAATAAAAAACATTACTGAGAGGATTGCATTATTTTATGAAATCGTAACTATGAATTAAATGATGTATTTACAGTGTATTCTAATGTGGCTGATTTTTTTTTTGCCAATGTAAAATGTAGTAAAATTATAGTGAGAGCATTTGAAAAACATCTGACAAAATAATAACAAAACGTAAAACCATTTTTAGGCTTTGTCAGAAAAAATCCATGCAGCACCCAAAACAAATAAATAAATAAAGACATGGACATAAATCAATGTGTGGCTGATTTTTCCCCATGCGGTCTTCCAAGTGTTAAAGAACATCATGTGTGAAAAGCTGACCTGCTGATAACTACCAGCCGATCTTATGATCAGTGGTCAACTTCACCAGAACCACAAGAAATTAATTTGGTGGAAGTGGTCTTAATAAAAACTAGAGAAATCGCATTTCTTGCGAAAATGCCGTGTGAATGCTTATTGCTGAAGAACTTGCTAAAAATCAGCTGAAATTAGCTAAAAACATGCTGAAATGTAGCTGAAATGGAAGAACAAGCTTAAAGAAAGCAGAAACAACACACATTTGGTGGATAAGGTTTAAAGAAGCAGAAATGAGCATACAAAAAATGAAATTAGCAAAAACATTAGCTAAAAAGTAGCTAAAAATGTTAAATGGGCTGAACTTATACAGCGCCTTTCCATCTTCTCAAGATACTCAAAGCTCTTTATACTACAATCTGTCCTCATTTACCCATTCATACAGCACTCTACTAGATCTGTACAAAGAATAATTCAATTATTCATACAATAATTTATTCATCACATTCATACACTGATCGGTCACACATCGGAGGCAAAAAAAAAAAGGCTGAAATTACAAGTAGTACGTGGAGAGAGCGCATTTTTGTTGAATTAGGCTGAAAAAAGCTTAAATGAGTGCAAAAAATGTGGAATTAGCTGAAAAAGCTAAAATTAGCATAAAAACAGCTATATAGTAGCTGAAATAGTAGAAGAAGCTGAAATTAGCAGAAATAAGTTAGAAGCACAAAAATGTAGTTAGCAGAAAGAACCCGAAAGGAGCACAAAACATGAAAAAACAGCTGAAAGTAGCTGAAAAATATTTAAATTTGCACAAAGAAGCTGAAAGAAGCTGAAGAAGAACAAAATGTAAAAGGAGAAGAAAGGTTGTAAACAGATCTAAAGATTTGAAGGATGTAAAATGAGCTCAATTCATTTTCTATGAGAGAAAAAATGACAGAAAAGGCCAAATATTTTAAAAAGCAAAAGTTGCACCAATACCAATAGTTATAGCAGGATTGTCCTGAAACAGCTGAACATTTTGATTTATGATTTGGTGAAATAGCTTGAAAACTGCGTGACGAGAATCGTGCTGAAAAACGTACGGAAGAAAAACGGACCACCGTAGTGTGAATACTTCATAAACATTCACACAATAAGAAACAATATGGAGCCACAGTCTGAGGACATTTACTGTCCTCAACATTTTGTAGACTTACACCATGGACAAACAGACAGGGACAATCTAGAGACAAAAGGTTTGACGTTGATGTGTTACTCAGATGTAAACCTGGATCAGAGACAAGCGTTTAACAAATGGGTCACCTGTGACTTTGACCCCGTGACCTTGAAATCAATTGGGCTCATCTTTGACCCAGGAGCTCTACAGCTGTGCAGTTTGACATTTTGTGCAGAAACTGATTAAAAAAAACTTTCCGTTGCCCTTGTTTTGTCATGTCCGCATATTATATCAGATGGGTTATTTTCTGTGCTGTTAACAAACCTCGGTGCAGCCGCAGAAGTCAAAGTTACCTGAACTTCTTGGCGCACTCAGCTTCCCTCCTGTAGTCACACTCCCAGGCCAGTTCTCTCTGCAGGACCTCCAAACTGCTGTCTGCAAACAGACCTGTGGACAAAGCGGCTAAGTCAGCAAAAACAAGAAGTATGACCATGGCCCCATCGCAGGGGGATTTCAATAGTGAAGGTATATGTGTGTGTGTGTGTGTGTGCGCGCGTGCGTGCGTGCGTGCGTGTGAGAATGGCCAATGTTAACTGTAAAATGAATACGGTTTAATAATTTAAATTTGCATATATAGTACTAGTTTAAAAGAAATAATGTTGATGAATATTTTCATAATGACAACATCTAATAGTGAAGACAGCCAGGTGTTCTCTGCAGCGCCACCTTATGGTCAAGACTGGAAGAGATACCTTTTCTGTTGTTGCAGTTAAATTTTAAGTGTTCATGAGCTCGAGCAGTGATTTGATCTCCACCACATGCAGGATTCAGATGAGCGTTTAATTGTCAATACAAGGATAACATGTTACAAATCGTCACGTTTGATTTTTAAAATATTTTAAACACATCCGAGCGCTGTTAAAAACCTGATCAAAGATACTTCCTGTTTGTTTTTCATAAGTAAACAACAAATGTGTTGAAGTTACCTTCTGGCAGGGCCACGCTCATCTTCAGCACGGACATCAGGTTGTTGATGTCACTATGGATGCTCTCTGCTACCCCTGGGTACTGGAGGGACATGAGGAGAACAACACAAACTGTGACACACAAGTAGTCCTGGAGAAACGGTGTGTGTGTGTGTGAATCCTCTCTCTCACCTGGATCTTCAAGGCGATCTCTCTCCCATTTTTCAGAACCCCGTGATGCACCTGGCCAATGGAGGCTGCAGCAAAAGGTTTTTCCTCGAAGGACGACAGCTTGCCCCTCCAGTCTGGACCGAGGTCCTCCTGCAGCACTTTCTGTTCAATCACAAACACACATCGCTGCATTTTCCCGCGAGGCGTTTGATGTCATTAACGGCACGTCTGCTTGAGCGATCGTACTCACGAGCATCTGCCACGTGGGCATGAAGTCTGCGCTCTGACGCACCCGCTCAAAGATCTTCTGCAGCTGGGGGTTGATGAAGGAGTTATCTGAAGATGGAAACACATGAAGTTGTAGAACGACGTGAGCTTCGTCTAGTGAAGGAGCAGCCGTACGGACCTTGGATGCTGAGCATCTGTCCGATCTTGAGCGCCGCTCCTCGAACCTTGCACAGAGTGTTGACGATTCTCTCAGCGTTGGCCTCAGAGAGGAAGGGTGAGTCCAGCAGGGTGGCCGTGTCTGCAGAACATCAAACACACACAGGCTTCAAGTACAGCAGAGAACATGTGTTTTATAAACGACGTGTTGAAAAAATAAAACGCCACTGTGCCCCGTCACTGAGGGATTTGAATAGTGAATGTTTGCAGTTTTCAAAATTAGAGTTTTCTGGACAGGAATTGAACAGAGAATGCAGGTAAACAGAGGTAGCAGGAGTAACACCGTGTAGTTCAAGTTCAAGTTGTGTTCATTTGTCATATGCAGGTTAACACAAGTTAACAGTACAATGAGATGTTCAGAGTCAGAGATTCTTTATTGTCGTTTGCCCCACATGTGGTACATGTGGTGGAGCGAAATTATGTACACAGGGTCCCAGTTACATCCAACAATAAAATGTAAAATAAAAACAGTAATAACATCCAAGATATGAACTAAGAAAAACATCAACTAAATATACACTAAGCACTCATAACATAAAAACATTACATCGAACAGCAGCACGAACATGAGTCTGTGTGAGCAGATGAGCGCGCATGAACACAACATTGAAACAGATCAGCAGTAACATTGAAACAGATCAGCAGCAACATGATGAGATTTTTCACAGTGATTATTCTGGTTAGAGATTCATGAGTCTAACAGCCTCAGGGTAGAAGCTGTTCCTCAGTCTAGTGGTTCTACACGTAATGCTCCTCAACCTCCTTCCTGGGGGAAGTGGGGCAAAAAGTGTGTGTGCTGGGTGAGTGGGGTCCTTCATGATGCAGATGGCTCTCTTCCTGCGTCTGGAGGTGTAGATGTCTGTGATGGTGGGGAGACTGACTCCAACAGTCTTCTGTGCAGCCTTCACCACTCTCTGCAAAGTTTTTCTTTCTGCAGCTGTGCAGCCTCCATGCCACACATTGATGCTGGAGCACAGGATGCTCTCCACTGCACACCTGTAGAAGGAGGTGAGGACTGAGCTTCCCAGACCAGCTCGTCTCAGCCGTCTGAGGAAGTAGAGTCTCTGATGAGCTTTCTTGATCAGCTGGTGGTGTTGTTGCCCCAGCTGAGGTTGTTGTTCAGGTATACACATGTACTTGTAGCTGGAGGCCCCTTCCACTGCAGATCCTCTTATGTTCAGGGGGGTGTAGATGTTTTTGTTCCTTCTGAAGTCCACAATCATCTCCTTTGTCTTCTTCACATTGATGTGAAGGTTATTCTCTTTGCACCAGCTCTCCAGGTGTTCCACCTCTTGTCTGTAGCTGGACTCATCATTGTTTGTGATGCATCCCACCACCGCTGTATCATCTGCAAACTTTACAGCCTTGATGGGTAGCTGCACACTCATACGTGAGCAGAGTAAACAGGAGGGGGCTCAACACACATCCCTGAGGAGAGCCAGTGCTGAAGGTTATGGTGGAGGAGGAGAAGGATGAGAAGAACTAATTTGACTTGCTAAAACAACAAAGAATAAACAAACAAGAAATACTAAAGCATGCAATAAGGGTACAAAATTAAAGTACCAAAAAGTGAAAAAGTAATTATAATATTTACAAGGTCCTAAAGAAAGATAGTAAACAACCACATGGTAGAATATAACAGTACTATAATGTTAAAGTAGAAGAATAGTTTTTTGGGGTGTTCTTGTCCAAGGCAGCACAGGGTGATAAGACCATGGTGAGTGGAGGGAGCAAGTTTATCCACAAGCACCTGCAATGGAGGAGCCAGAGGGGGGCCAGAGGGGGGCCAGTGGTGGCCTTGGCCATCAAAGAGTAAACTATGGTCACCCCAATCATTTGAAGGAGACTATCCTTTCATGCAATATAAAAACTAGAAAGCACAGTTTCCACAAATGATAGGGGTGGTCTGTTTACACACACTCCTATACACACACATGGTGATGGGCATCTTGGATGATGTGGCAACCCAACTGACATAACGCCACAGCCTCATCAGCAACTGACCAATCAGCGATCTCAATTTGTCCCGAAGTGAAACGCTTGTTATTTGCAGGAGCTGCAGCCCATTTTCCTCTGACAACATTGTCGGGGTTGTGCATTATGAATGCATTGCAGTCAGAAATTTTGTGAAAGATCATCAGAAAAATGGTTAAACGATGTCAGTGGAGAACATAATTCCACCTTAGCTAAAAAAGAAAAAATATGATAACTCTCCCATTTTTAGAGCTATTCAGCTGAAATTTGGTATAGTGGTAGCTGACAACAATCCCAAACATATAGTCAAATCACATTTTAAAATTGTCATCAGCTTGGCAGTCCCCATCAGTTTCTCCAGGAACTTTCTAGTTCAGACAGTGTTACTCTTCAGCGTTTAGAGGGTGGAATACAGTTTACTGTATTCAATTTTAAAAACCTAAATGGAGTCTGGAAAAATATAAAAGATGAAGGCCAGCACAACAGTGATAAACAGGAAGTACCACGTATTCGTCTGTACGAAGGTACTGCAGGTAATCCTCCATTTCTGTCATAATTACATTGTACAGTATGCTTAATGGTTAAATTAAAGGTTAATGCTTAAAGCTAGTTGTGTTTTGTTTTGTTTTGTGTGTTTGAAATGTAGATATATGTTGTAACTTCTGGTTTCATAAGTGTTTGTTTGTTATGATCAGTTAACACTAAACAGATTTTGCACAAAGCGTTTATTAGGTTGTGCAATTTAAAATTTTCACTCAGTACAAACTGAATTTCACTGTGAGTTATTGCTGTGTCACTCTGCAGCATGAAAACATCCACTGCAGTAACTATTGTAAGTTTAACTACTTTATTAATATATTTGAAATTATTTTTTTCCTGTCTTCTTTGCCTTAGTAACTGCAGATAAGGCAGAAATGCCTCAGATTACAGTGTGAGCTTCACCACCTCCACCACTACAGATGTCTTGTTTGTCAGAGGTTAGCTCACCCTGAGGTACATTTCTGAGTGGGCGGAGCCATCTTACCACTCGCATCATGTCAGTATTCAGTGGTGACCTTTCTTGTTCCTAGATGAAGGCTAACACCAAAATGGAAGTTGGCGCGTTGCTTATTTTCAAGTTATCAAGCTCAACATGCACAAATGGACTGAACATATTTCCCTCTTCGTTCCGAGAGGAGCGACAATAATCTGAATCTCTTTAAAACTGTGGAAAAACTGTGGAACTTTAATATAACGAAGGCAGATTTTTAATTCTTGTTAAAAAGCTTTTAATCCAAATGTCCAGTCAGAAACACGTCAAGATCAGCAGCTTCCATCAGCCGCCTTCGATCACAGGAAGGAGCAGTGAAATGATCGTTACCTCCTTTCTGTTTGCCCCCTAGAGACTGTTTGGCCACTTCTGCGATGGCACCGATTCCCAGCCCGACTGCCAGTCCTTCAGCAGAGACAAACAGGGGACAGTTAGGGACATTTAGAGGACACGTGATGAGAGCAGTTTGCCACAGACGACGCTGCTTTTTGAAGAATGTTTTTAAGTCTGATATCTCAGTTCTGACTCTTGCAGAGTTTAAAAAGCTTGTTTGCTTTTGTTGCACACAAGCTTCATCAGCTGTTGTAATGATTTGTACTCCTCCTTTATACAAATAATAAACAGTAAAAATAAAATGTGTTAAATCCATTTTCTACACCAATACATTTTCATGTTTGTTTTATTTTTCTATACATTTGCAGTATAATGTAACAAACCCACAAAGGTTTTAAGTTTCATCTTGAAAAGTTTAGATTTCAAATAAAATGTGAAGCCTAACTAAACGTTTCAAATAATTTCTACAATAAGATAATAACACATATGAATCTTGTTTCATACCGAACTGCTTTGCCTCAACTTTAATAAACGCAGACCGATGAATTCATTCTATTTTAATTATATTTTACACTAAATTAGGTCCAATACCTCAGTGATCCATGTTTTTATAAATATATGGGGTAAATAAAAAAAATAGTTTTTACCTCCAAAATTAACGAGTCGGCTGATTCTTGTGGCAGGAACCTTCCTTTCTTTGGCGCGGTCACTCAGCTGAAGAAGGTGAATAAACAGTGTTTAGAAGTGGTAGAATTAACACAAGTTTCAGTTCTAGAGGTGACTGGACTTCTGGCCCTGACAGAACCATTATTATAAGATAAAACTTTATTGATCCCGCAGGAAATTGTTGTGCCAGAATTTCAGTATAAAGGAACATACACAAGGAATCGCACAAGATATAAAAATAACAGAGGTACAAAAATACCAACAACTAAGATCCAAACCTATAAAAAAAATTAATTACTGGGTATTAAACGAATTACAAATTAATAGTGTATCTTTTTGAAGATGTTATAGTAGGCCTGTCGAGATAAACAATAAATCAATTAATCGCATGATAAATTAAAATTATCAACCTCAATCAATCAATTCAACATTATTGTCCATAACATTCAATGAAATGTAGATTTGTCTTTGACATCTGACTTATAAAGCAAAATAAAAATGTGATTAAAAACTCAAAAAAAAACTTAAAACCAACCTCATTTTCATTTATCAACTTTATCATTTCTTCATCTCTCTCTTTCTGCTGAAGACACTGGATGACAAAAAGCTCAACTCCGGTGCTCTTCACTGACCCCTCCCTTTCTCTTTTCTCTTTAAAATCCGTTTTAACAATCCAAAATCTCATTTTTGGATTGTTAAAAAGCAGCTAAGCCGAGAAGCTAAGCTATGAGCTAAACTAACAGACCGACCTTGGGGAAAAACCTCCGTCTTGTTGAAGCTTCAAAATTCACGGTTGAAACCCGTGCCTTCGTCTAAAAAGTTGTTTTTCTCTGCAAAAAGAAGCTGAGAACTTGTTTACTGATTTTTTTATTAAAAGCTTTGTGTAACAACAAATGCTATGCTAAAGAGCTCAAACCACACCGCGCATACACCATTTTGAGAACCGAAAAAAAAAGGAAAGAGAGACAGCCCACGTCTCATCAAGGGGCCTCCCTCCCATTTTTCTTAAAGCGATACGCTGCTCGCTCCCTCACTATCTATCCTTTGGTTCAAATAGTCTTATTCTGTCATCCAGTGGTCAAAAAACGTACTACACTCAAAATAAACATTTCTTCTTAAATTTGACAATAATTACTAATTATTGTCAAATATCAAACAATATTACCATTTATAGCAATAATTTCTGAGACAATTAATGGCCCAGCAAAATTTGTTATCATGACAGGCCTATGTTATAGCCATAAGTCTTCTTATAGCTTCTGTTAAATGTCTGATTGGCAAACTCTGCACTAGTATTCCCATGGATCTGAACCTTGTGTAAAAGTCCAGATGGTAAATAATATATGTTAATATAAATTAGTTTATAATTATAAACCTAATTATAAGTCTAAGATCATCACAACAAAAACAAGTACAGTAGTATATCGGTATCTCTCAATGCTGAGGGGTTTGAATAGTGAATGTTTTTATTTTTCAAGTGTTCTTCTGGACTGGAATTGAACAGGGAATGCAAGAAAACCTTAATGGTATGGTGGCCTTGGCCACAATAATCTCCTGTCACCCCTATCATTTCAGGAAACTATACTTTTAAGTAAAATAAAGATTAGACAGCAAAGTTTCCTCCAGTAATTGAGGTGGTTAGTTTACATATACATATAGGGTGGCAGCCATCTTGGATTTTGATTTGGTAAACTTGATTTTCAAAAGAAACCTTTCTTACTCCTAGATGTAGCCACACACCAAAATGGAAGTCTCTTTTTTATTTTTCATGTTATCATGTTTGCAACATGTACAGATAGACAGAGGGTATTTCCAGTTCCCCTTCAGAAAGGTCAGTTCAAACCAGCTTTGTCACAAACTCTGTAATATTCACTTGTTTCAACAAGAAGAATCAGTCCAGAGGACCCGACAACCTTGTTAGAATATTTATTTGGTTTTGTTAGATGAAAGTTTGTTAAACCAGTGATTGCTTCTACATCATCCTCAGCATCATGGATGGACAGTTGTACATTCACGTTGGATATGGACAGAGACCACCAGTGACAACCCCACAACCCAGAACGGAAGAAGTGGGTAAAGATAATGGATGGAGGGACATCTTCTTCTTTAGGAGGGTCACCACAGCAGATCATCAGCCTCCATCTAACCATATCCCAGCATGCTCCTCTGTCACGCCAACCCTCTGCACATCCTACTGCATCCATAAACCTCCTCTGTGGTCTTCCTCTTTCCCTTTTCCATGGAGGCTCTGTAGTCCGCATCCTCCATCTCTCCTCTGCACACACCCAAACCATCTCAGCCTGGTTCCTCTAACTCGATCTGAAACTCATTTACAATTGTGTCCATTCTGATGTTCTCCAGTTCCACTTCTGTCCTCTGGTTTACTTATCAGACCAGGAAATTATTTTCCAGCCTCGTTGTCAGGTGTTGGTGAGTCTATGTGAATTTTAGTCTCAGCTTCCTGCTGTTAGCTGACAAGAGTGATGCTCAGCGTGGTCTTCTGCTGCCGTAGTCCATCTGCTTCAAGGTTGGACCTGTTGCGTGTTAGAGATGGTCTTCGGCAGACCTCGGTTAGAAACTAGTAATTAATTAAACTACTGTTGACCTTTCATCCTCTCAAACATGTCTGTCCATTCTCCTCTGACATTAATGAGGCATTTAACTGCTGCGTACTGGATGTCTTCTCTATTTTGGACCCTGCTCTGTAAACACTAGAGAAGGTTGTCCATTACTCTGAAATACTCAGACCCAACAACCTTTCAGTCATTAAAAGTGTCTGTAACTTCACATATTTGATAAATACAAATGCAATGTAGTAAAGATAACAGAGGACCACACTCCACTCAAACTGTTGTTGAGATATTCTCATCCACAGTAACAGGAAGTGGTGTCGAAGGGGAACGCCTGCTTGTGAACTGAACGTTGCTACAACAGCTAGCAACACAGACAGAAGAGAAGAACCTGATTATTTAGATCACATATGTCAAAACTCAAGGCCCGGGGGCCAAATGTGGCCCTCGGTTACATCTTATCTGGCCCCCAAGATGTTATTTTAAACACTAAACACGTTTATCACTTTAATTTTTTTAGTAATCTTTGATTATGATGTCAAAAGTGTAACAGAGAACGTCAAACAAGACCCATCAAACGTTTTTTGAGGAACCTGCAACCAAGAAAAGATGTTGGGCATCTGACTTGAGTTCATTTAGATTCTGAAAAAAGTTTTCATTTTGGCCCCCTTTTGTAAGTGAGTTTGACACTCCTGTCACTATCAGAGAGTGAGATGAACAGTCAGGAGAGGAAGGTCGGCTATCGGCAGAGCACTAGTTTTGGGCGCAGTTCTTTATACGTTTGAGGTCCTGGCAGCCGACAGCTCAACATGCTGGTCAAGCGAACGAAGGCGAAGCTGAACGGTTCCTCTTTGTCGTCCCTTCCTGTTGCACTTTGGCCGTACAAAGCTCTGAACAAAAATATGCCGTTCATGACAAAATGGGTTTATGCATCTTTTTAATCCTAAAATAAAGAATAATTACTTGCTAAATATCACGGGTTAAGATATTTTCTTTCAATTGGTTTTGCAGGAAATAAATGTCCTGTTCTGATGCTCAGTTTGAACTTCAGCAAGTTGTCTTCTCCATGTCTTGAGGCCAAAATGTATGGAGTTGCTGCCAACTGACTGTCTTCTTCTTCTTCTTCTTTCAGCTGTTCCCTCTTCAGGGTCTCCACAGCAAGTCGTCCTCCTCCATCTCACTCTGCCCTCTGTATCCTCTGTCCTCACTCCAACTACCTCCATGTCCTCTCTAACTGCATCCATATATCTCCTCTTTGTCTTTTTCCTGGCAGCTGCATTTCTAACATCCTTCTACCAGTATACCCACTGTCCCTCCTCTGGACATGTCCAAACCATCTCAGTCTGGCCTCCCTAACTTTATCTCCCAGTTGTTCAACCTGTGCTGTACCTCTGATCCTTGTCACTTCTAAGGAGAACCTCAACATCTTCATTTCTGCCACTTCCAGTTCTTTCTCGTGTCTTTTTGTCCATGTCTCTGTCTCCAGACCATACAACACAGCTGGTCTCGCCACTGTCTTGCAAACTTTTCCTTTGACTTTTGCTGACACCCTTTTGTCACAAATCACTCCTAAAACTTTTCTCCATCCACTCCATCCTGCCTGGACTCTCTTCTTCACCTCTGTGGTAGAGGTAGGGCAGCCGACTTGGGACCAGAAAGTCACAGTTCGACTCCCTGCCATGCCAACATTTCGTGGTGTCTTTGAGTAAGACACCTAATCCCTAACTGCTCCCCGGGTGCTAACATAGCTGCCCACTGCTCCGCCTGGGTGTATCTCACATCACGTGTGATAGGAGCATACAATGATAACAAATAGCAGTTTACACTTACTTTACCACATTCACCATTTTCCTGGACAGTTGGACTCTACATACTTGAAGTCCTGAACTTTTGTGACCTCTGTTCCTTGTCTGATTATCTATTTATATTAACAACAAGCTAAAAACAGGTGTACCTGAGAGGCCGATGAGTTTACAGTAGGTCAGTCTTTTGCAAACATCTTAGTCCATTGGCCAACTTGTTTTTTGTTTTTTTTTAGATATTTTATTTATTTTTCTGACATACCGGTAATTTAAATAACGTGATCTATATTTTAAAAATCAAATCTGTAAATTATTTTTACTCTAGATGGGAATGAGTTGATGCACCAACCTTTTGTCGTATTGGTTTAACCAGAGTCTGTTTCGCCTCTCTGGCTTTCTTCATGTCCTCTGGAGTGAGTTTGGCCACCACAGTGTTGTGAATGGACCGGGTCTGGTAGTGGTACCGCTGAAACTGGGGCAAGGTGTGCAGGGTGCGACTGCTCTGTGTTGGCCAGCCTGCTCCCCCTATAGCCATCCCTGGACTAGAATGCATCCCTAACAGAGGAGAGAGTCATGTTTCAGTGAAAAGGTGAGAACTGTAAAACAACTAACTTTAACAACTTCAGGCCAATCAGTGAATTAAAGGTGAACAAAGAACTTCAGACAAATGTTACACGTGTTTAATTATAATAACGAAGTTCCTCTGTGAAAAGTGAGCGTACTGAACTTTATAAACAGTCTTCACATAAAACGTTATGCATATTATTGGGCTTATATTCAAATAAAAAACACCAAATACTGATAATGGCATTTAATGTTATTTTATATTTAGTGTACGAGTGTATATGAGTGTATATGAGTGTATGCTCATTTTTGGTCAGGACCTCATAGTGGGTCATGAACGTGAGCATCTTCAGATCATCTACAAAAGTGACACTAAATGTAAAAAGACTACCAACAGCAACAAAACATCATGAACACTACAAAGAATAAACAGTCATAAATTAATAAAATATTATCATAGTAGAGACAGCTGTTAAGAGTTATTATGCCCTTATTAAATAAGGTTTATTAGAAGTTTGTACATTTAAACCAGTAATATTTAGAGGCACAAGCCAGTTAGTTTTAGAGTAGGAAGCTGAAAAAGTTTGGAAAGCACAAATAAATCATGTAAATACGGCCCGTTTCATATTTTTATATGTGCTGTGACTATAAAATTCAAAAATGATATTTTTTCCACTAAAAAAATTGTACAACTTTTTAGTTCCAACATCTAACATGTTTACTTTGTTTCACTGTAAATAAAATCCATCCATCCATCCATTTTCTTTACCCGCTTAATCCATTTTGGGTCACGGGGGTCGCTGGTGCCCATGTCCAGCAATCACTGTGCGGGGGGCGGGGTACACCCTGGACGGGTCGCAAGTCCATCACAGGGACACATAGAGACAAACGAGACAACCAACCATTCATTCTCTCACACACACCTAGGGACAATTTAGAGTTACCAATCAGCCTAACATGCATGTTTTTGGTCTGTGGGAGGAAACCGGAGTGCCCGGAGAAAACCCACGCATGCACGGAGAGAACATGCAAACTCCACCCAGAAAGGCCCCTGGACCGGGGTTTGAACCAAGGACCTGTTCGCTGAGAGGCAGCAGCTCTACCAGTTGCGCCACCGTGCTGCCTTTGTAAATAAAATAATGGTTTATAATATTTGCAGATTATTGCATTTTGTTAGTTATTTTGATAATTGATTAATTAGACGTGAAACTTTAATACCATCAGAGAAAATGTTTGGCTAGTCACTTCTTTATACCACCCACTTAGTTTTGTCTGAGATGAAACTAAAACTGTTTCACAAAAATATGTAAATTATTTGTAAAAATCATGGACCGACAGTACATTAAAATGTCTTTCATCAGGGTCCGTCTTCTCACAGCCCCACTTTCCTTCTTAAAAGAGGCCATCTTGCTTGTTTTTAGTGCACGGGTGAAAAGCTGACTTTGGAGATAAGAGATAAGAGGATGATGGAGATAAACATGAGGAACTTTCACCTCTGAGCAGCTAAATTAATGCAAAATGACACTTACATGTTTAAAATGAAACATATTACTGATCAAGATTATATCCATTTCAGGAAAGGATTTCAAATATTTATATCTGAAAATATCTGCTCAAAAGAAATGAATGTGTCAACAAATCCGTTGCTTTGCAGGATTCCTTTGTGCTCTGCCTAAATGTACCACATGGGATACATGCTAATGCCAAAACATCTGTTAAAAACTTAAAATAAAACCCGCACGCACAAAACAAATATATTTCACTTTCAGACTTAGCAATTTTTTTTTTTTAATTTCCCAAACACAACATAAATAAAATAAAAAACAATCAAAACAAGTTTTATGTAGTTTCAACATTTGTGCTGTCTTTGCACATTATTCATTTGGAAACAGGGATGTAGAAAATAATATTGCCTGTGTGCATCCCCCCGGCTGGTCCAGCTGGTCCTGCCTGGTTTTGATCCACAGCCTCAGGAGGGAACTCAGACCCCACAGCCCACTTGGCTGCTTCATCAGGGTCCATGTTGTCCCAACCCTCTGTGTCCGGAAACACGTCCTCCTTTGTCGACTGTAACACAAAAACACATGGTTATATTTTACTGTTGCTTCATTGTGCGTGTACTAGTCAGTGAAACTCACCGTGCTGTTGCTGCCCATGAAAGTGGCCACCAGTCCGTCCACCACGTCCTGAGCAGCTCTGACTCCTGGGCCCAGGGACGAGTTGCAGGCCAGCAGTCGGAGCTGCTCGCCCTGGGTGGTGACCAGAGCTGAGCCCACTTTCCCAGCCCCCCGGAGCACCTGCAGCACTTCTGACAGCATCATCTTAAACACACAGACACTCATTAAAAGCTAGGAAATGCTCTGCGCAACAATATCAACTAATACACTGATTTAACCAGAGTGAATCAGCGATGAAAGATGATACTACAAAAACTGTTACTCCACTACAGTAGTTTCACCTTGACGCTTCTCTAGTTGTTTAGGTGTCCTGACATGTGACACTACCACGAGCTGTTTTGTAAATGTGTGTTAAAATACCTAACAGTACTCATATTCACAAGAAATATCCTAGAAATTTGTAAATAAGTCATTCCGGGTCTGGTAATAACTAGCTAATCCGTTAGCTAGTTGGGTAAACTGTTTAGCTCTGCTAAAAGATTAATTAACTTTACTAAATACCGCCTGCACACTCAAGCCCTGACTTCAAACATCTGTAATAAAAACGCTGAAATGGATTAAACACTGTCAGTGACTTACTTTTCCAAAGAAAATACGTTACTTTAGATTCACTTAGCGCTGCCCTTTCCCCACACTGTGCATAGACGAGAACCTTCAACCGGAAGTTAAATACTATCTTCTTCTTCTTAATGGAGTTTTATGGCGGTTGGCAAACAACGGAA